TTCAGCAGTGCTGCCAACTCTTCTACATCCAGCACAAATCATTTTACAATTTTATTTGTAGTATATAAAAGCTGTTAAATTCTATAATAAATAAAAAAATTCAATATATTGATGTGCAAATGTGAAAAAATGGTAGGTGATACGGCTTAATAAGTGTCATATTTGGATTAAGCACCCTAAAAAACAGAATAATAAGGTGTTTTAAGTAAAAACGTTTTTTCATCTTTGGCCTGTGTAATATATGTCAGTGGAAAATCAATTTCGAATCATAAGATGCTTTCATAGTTGTTTTTTGAAAAGGGAAATGCCTCATGAATTTTATTAAACTGAACACCTATCTAGTTGCTTGTTTTTATAGTTAACCAGTGGGTTTTGTTCCACCGGAATGATTAGTTCTTAATTTTTACGATCTCAGAAGTGAACAAAATCAATAAGTGAATTATTGACCGATCAACCGATGGGTGACATGTTAACTAGTACTACTCTGACGCGCTGCTTGCTAATTCGATTCCCGCCCGACATCCAAGTTTGTCTAACAAAATCTCTTCTTTGATATCCCGACCGATTCGGATGCGGTGTCGGTATCCTTATCAGAGAGGAGAGGTTGCGATGTTATTTAGCACATGATTTCTCTCAATTGAGATACGAAACAAAAATGACAATATTAGGCATTAGATGCCATCTTACTACTGAAAATTGAATGATCTCAGCAATAATCATGAGTTCTCAACAAAGGAAAAACCAGCATGGATAGCTTATTCCTAATGATCAGAAGGAGATCTTCGTTAACACTCATTTTGCACTTTGTTTTTTATCTTCGAGTGGGGAGACAAGGTAAAAAATGGTGGATTACCTACATCTTGTTTTCGAAGATTATGTGATCTCTGTAAAAGATATTATTCATTTGCATAGAAGTACAGCCGTCCATGTAGCCAAAAATTGATCTCTTGAATATTGACCAAATGTATAAGGTATATGGTTAGTGATGTAGTGCTATAAGGCGTATTCGGGACAGTGCAAAGTTCTTACACAACTAATTTTTCTCAGTCTCCACTGTGCAACTGCTTTTCACTGTTTGAGAACCGTCAGATAGCGTACCCGAGTACGGCTCAAAATTCCCAGTAATTCGCGGTCAACGATGACTTGATATCAAACGAGGTTCGTTAACTTTCATTTTCATTGCAGCGCGTCGTGTCACATTACAACATTGTAATATAAAGACAGGGTTTATTCTCCATAATATTGCTCCTGTAATATGATTTTACATACATTGTTATAAGACGATATGAAATATATGGCTACTTAGTTTACAATAATTGTTGTACTGTTGTAAAATTGGTGCTTTCTGCTTTTGTATTTTTCTTTTTTGGAGTCGGAGTCGTTACACCTAACCTCTTGAAAACAGAAATAGTTCGATCGAATTATTTTTTACTTTAAAGAATAATTCGTTGGCATTATGGCACAACTTGGGATGGCTCTTCAACTTCAAGTCTTTATTCATCATATTTTTTAGTAGTTACTGGAAAATCATTGAGTGTTTCCTGAATTCAACAGAATTTGTTTCACTTTTGATATTCTGTGGTAACAAGTTGAAATATTTTACCTCTTCATAAAGTGACAATCCTTTGTATTCGTTGTGGTAAATTTTTTTGTGATAAAATTTGTTTCTCTGTTTCATAAAAAGGTCATAAATTACCTCATTTCGTGTTAGCAAATGGGAATTTTTATGAACATAGTTTAGTATTTTCTAAAGATTAATACACATTACTGTGAGAATTGTTTTGTAATGTTTCCTTTCAAGAACACTCTTCATTTGACTCTGCATGATAAATATTCTATTTGTTTCTGGTGGGTGCTTTCAAATGATAATATTTATACTGGCCCAGAATTCAATAGGTCATAATATATATATCCATGAGATTTTGTTTCAAAAAGTTTAATTTCAAAGTTAGAAAAGCAAAATATTTTCAAAACGTCCCATGGATTTTATGACCACTTGAGTGGTAGTAATTTTATGATCAATTTGTTAAAATAATTTTTCTTTAATTTTTCAATCATGTCTCGCATCACAATTGGTTGGAAATATAAAGGCTCCTTTTTTAATGGACTTCAAACCAATCAAGCATTTTCATTTCAGTAAGACCATACAACACAATCATTACAACAGTAAAATACTATTTTTCAAAGACTCGATTTTTCTTTGCCTGCTAAATAAGGGTTTGCATGTTTCCTGGGAAAATTTGTTTCATTTCATAGAATCATCATCATAAGCAGAATGATTTTGTAGAACAATCTTATGAGTACTAATTCGCCGCCTTAGTCCATCCCACATATAATTTTATTTTTTGTATTGAATGTTGGTACATACTACAGCTGCATGTAATGAGCTATAGCTTTTGAATCAATTGAGATACAGACATCATTCAAAAACCAAATCTTAAACGAGCGTTTACTTGACATATAGACCAAAAAATCATTCAATTCAGTTGCTACGAGTAACATAAAAAATATTCACCTGTTGTTTAAGAAAATGAGACTACACCACTGACAAACTAAAAGTGTCTCATAAGGTCAACGAATTTTTCTTTAAAATAAATTCAACTACCGTTGAAAAACAAGCCTCAGAATAACTAAGCATGGACATCTCTTTTTATAAAAGCGCTATTGATGGAACCATCAGACAAAACTTCCTATATGTTTATACCACTTGTATTTGTAACTATCATTACTGCAGTTTCGTCCTATAAGGACATTTTCAAACGAATACAATGAACTAAAATAATTAACAATGTTAACCTTTATATACTCGGTATCTATATACACCACTGTATTGCCCTTATTTTCAAATCTGGTAGTTATAGTCCTGGATGAAATACTCCTTTTCTATTTTTCAAATTTTTATTGGAACAGAAATAATGAAAGATTTGTAAATCTTGCCGGGAAAAAAAACTTCATATAAATTGATGGATGTAGCCATTACTGCATGGTAGGAGATCATCATGAAAAATGAGACTTCCTATGTTTTTGCATTGCGGATGTAACATTTTAAATGGCCAAATCGACCTAGTCTATTCGCCAGTTTTCAGATTAGCGTACCCACATTGTCACAGGTAAACACAATTCTGGTACTCAGTTAACTTAAGAACCATCTGTTATTATCTAAAGTGGTGTATAGATATATATGGGTTAACATTGTTAATTATTTCAGTTTATTATATTCGTTTGAAGATGTCCTTATACGACGAAACTGCAACGATAGTTACCAATACAAGAAGTATAAAAAACATAGTAAATTTTATTTCATTCTTCATGATGATCTCCTACTACCTACTAACCGAGTACATCCATCAATTTGATTCAATAAGACTTCGCAATAGTGGCGCAGTGATACTGTGCTGGACTCTTGATCAAAAGATCTTGAAAACAAATTCGCCTTTGATTGATGAAATTATTCTATGACATGACGTGGATGATGAGACTTCAGATATAACTCGAGGAGTTATTAAACATATCTTCTTCTAGAACATGACATTGAGAATCATAGTTGTTGATGGTAATGGACTATATAATGAGTAATCTGGTTCACATGTACTCGATTTAGCTCTTTTTGGTGACATTTTCCAGCCCTGTCCAAAAATTACTACCAAGGTGTCATTCGATTCGTATTTTTGCCTAGAAAGTTTAAGGAAAGGTCTGAAAACGCTCCGATAAAAATTACAAAAGTTATAAACAATTAAGTGAAAAAAAAGTGACTTTTTTTTCAAATTTCCAAAATTTTGAAAATTTTCCGTGATATTAAGAAAAAACTAAAGCCCCATTTTTTGGAACCTTTCCTTAAACTTTCTAGGCAAAAATACGAATCAAATGACACCTTGGTCGTAATTTTTGGACAGGGCTGAAAAATGTTACAAAAAAAGTACATGTGAACTAGACTATGAGTACTTAAAAGGAGATGTAGTTAATATTAAATAACTTCGTTATTTTGTATATCAAAATAAACTGAAACATTTTTCGAGGATCTTGTAGTATAATATTTTAACTGTAGTCAAATTGCTGATGATATGAAGATAGCATGGAGAAATGGTATGATTAGTCCATGAGAGCGATTCTAATAGCAGAAGTTTCGAAAATACCAAGAATAGTTGAAATAATAAAAAAAAACGTATAGGACTTATTGTGTGAGATGTAAAATATACCATAACATTCAATTATTTCAACATGGATACAGCATGAAACAATATCAACAGAAACTAGAGAATATCAATGAAGATGAATCTAGAAAAACTAATGATTACCATTTCATAATCTTAAGCTTGAACAATGAAGAACCGAACCATTGGTCAGCAGAAGACATGAAAGGAACAGAGAAGAATAAAAGTGGTATAAAGATAGTCTGAAGCTGAGAGTTCAACCAAACTTCAGCAAATCATGGTAAAATAATTACCAGTGTAAGGGCCGTTTTAATATTTTCTTAAGATTTTGAATCCGCTAAGTGTTTCATGGAATGAGGCGGTGTAACTGCTTCTACAGTTTCATTAGTGGATGATGAAATTGGACGCCTGTGGATTTAATAATTGTGATAAACATTTCCAGACATTACTGATGTATGTATTTTGCATTAAATTGTCACAAAGGCTCACACAATCTTTAAAAAAATCCACTTTACAATTTTTTATTTTTTATGACAAAACATTCAATTTTCAGGTATGTATGATGGCCAGGAACATACACCAAAACTTCTTCAATGTTCTCATACAGTATGTTTACATTGTCTTACTCGAATAGCTGCGTCTCAGACCAGAGACACTGGTTCTTTTAGGTGCCCAATATGCCGAGAATTAATCAATATACCAAGAGGTGGTGTGTCAGCTCTACCTCCTTCTTTTCTAGTCAATCAACTGTTGGATTTGATGTCCAGACAAAGAAGAGAGGTTATACCGAAGTGTTCAGTTCATATCAATCAGGTAGGAATTTATTTGGTTGGCTTTTTTATTGAGTAAAAAAGTATCTATAACTCTGCTTTCTTAGGCACGAAGTTTTTGTGTTTTTTTCATTAATGACATTTTTATTTTATTGAAGGAATTGTTATTTTGTGAGACATGTGACACAGTGTTTTGTACATTATGTACTGGTGGTTCTCACAATGATGCTGCAAATAGTTGCGAACACACAATTATACCCTTCTCTATAGCCATCAAGAGGATGTCAGAGATTTTGTTGTATAAGGCAAATGACTGCATTTCGAAGGTAAGTTTGGATTAGTTTTCTTTATTTAATCCTTATTTATTATTTCCTCTACACTTAGTTGCCTTACTTCTGAATGATACCGAGTTTGCTGACAGTGCTATCATTAGATTAACAGCAAATAAGATACTAAACAAGCATTTACTCTGAATTTGTCTTGACACATTTATCGATGATGTCTTCACAGGTTAGGTACATAGTTTATACATTTTGCGTAATTCAGAAATATTTGAAAGAAAAACTGAATTGAAAACGGAATTCAAAACCGGCTCTCCTGCATTCTAGACTGGCGAATTCATCAACTGCAGTATTGGAGCCGTCAAGCGGAATGATGACCTGATCACATCTTCAATTCAGTCTTTTCAGCATACTGTAAATTATCAGTATTAAAATTTCTCAATTGCTATAACAGATATTAATGTTGGAATTATAATGCTGGATGTAATTGTGTATCTGTATCACCTCATTATAACAATATAATTACCCGATTATCATAGCAATTCATGTATGCCATGAATTAAGGATATTTTCTGTTTTTGTGGCTTTACCGCCTGGCATAATATATGTATATTTCATAATAAATTAACTCGTTAATATTATTATTTTGAGGCATCAGAGTGAATATAAATTCCAATGCATGAAATGTACTGAAACGAAATACAAGTGTATTTATCGCTATGAAAGACTGAATTTAAGAAGTGAATCTTCTGTCATTCTACTTAGCGACTCCGATAGCGTAGTTGGTAAATGCAACTGTCTAGAAAACAAGGGGGCCGAGTTCGAATCTCGGTGGGGTCACATTTATACAAATAAGTTATTCTCTTATATATGTATGCACATTTATTTATGATACAGGCAGCACCCGATCCAGCTATAACTGTAATAGCTGAATAAACATTATGAACTATCAAAATATCACTTTTTGTTGGTTGTAACCGAAAACTTCACAACCTATCACTCAAACTTTTCGTAGGCTATAATTGTAATGTATAATAAAAATATCCCATACAAATGTACAATTTATAAGTGCTTAGGGGCTCCTTGTACGCACTTTAATTACTAATACTTCTGTAGAAATTTTATCCGAAATAATATTGATTTACTTTTAGTTAACACAGGCTCAAGAAGGGGTGAGTTCAGAACTTAGTAAATTAGTTTTAGCAAAAGAGTCTTGTTTGGAAAAAATCGATGATACATTCCAACAAATGCAGACTCTCATAGACCAAAGAAAACAAGAACTCATTGAAAATGTAAATACAATGTACACTGACAAAAAACGAGTATTGGAGGAACAACATTCTCTCATTGAAAATGAGAAAAATAAGGTTGTTGAAATGATTTTTTTTATTGCATTATTACATTTGATGTTTTTTAGGTTGAACAAGAATGTCAAGGCCTTCAATATCAAGTAGAAGTCCGCAACATTACACAACGAATCGAAATTTTATCAGAGAAGTTGGACTCAACTTTGGCACTGGGCGAGCCTCGAGAAAATTCATTCTTGACGTGTAATTTCAACTTGAATGATAGTTTGGAACAGATTCAGCAGCATCTCAGCGTTTTGGGAAAAGTAAGAACCAGTACAACATTTCCTAGCCTTTGCACTGCTAAATTAGAGGAAAATGTTGTGGCTGGGATCGAAAATTTCGTTACTCTCACCACTGTGGATTACCACGGAAATGTTCGAAAGACAGGTGGAGATCCTATACAAGCTGAACTTCAATTGGTTACACCAGGAGAGTCGAGCCAAACCTTCCCGGTACGTGTTGTTGACTGTGATGATGGTACTTATAAAACGTATTTTCGAGCACCCAAAGCTGGTCGCTATGGAATTCAAATATCTGTGATCGATAGACCTATCAAGGATAATCCGTTATATTTCGATGTTTCTGAGCATAATAATCCAGTTTGTATATATGGAACTAAAGGCAGTGGAAAAGATGAGTTCATGCAACCTGTAGCAGTTGCTGTAGATGAGAGAGATCAGACTATTTACGTACTCGATACAGGAAATTCCAGAATTAAAGTACTGAATGAAAATTTGGAGTTTCTTAAACATATTACAAATGAAGGACTGCTTGGAAGAAGTTGTACAGGTGAGAATAATAATTCAATGAATATTAATGTTTTTTCAGAAAACAATGAGTTTGTCTTTCAAATCAAAAATTATTTATAATATTCTCTTGGTATTGCATATTTGACAAAAATNGTGAATGGGTTTAGTGCATGATGTCGAAGAAATAAGCGTATTCTCAACATCTGCAAATCAACTTCAGTAAAATTTCATTTTGGAAGGCATGTTACAGAAGACACTTGTGTAATTGATGAACTTTAACCTGAAAATGAATCTATATCATGAAATGTGTCATGTATACAATCATAATTTAGAAATATTTCTTAGTAATGCTTCTGAACATGACTATTCGAAATAAAAATCTGTAACGAATCCCTTACGATATATTATCACACTCTAAAAATTGTCTGCAATATAAAGCCATCAGTTGCTACAATAACGTATCTAATAAAATCAAACAGATAAATAGTGATTGAATTTTCCACAGTGAATTGAAGCTTCTGTATAGTGTGTGTGTGTATATGTGTATATAGGAATAACGTAGGAAAGTTGAATCGGATGTAGCAGTCTGAGATTTGTATACACATTTCCATTTTAGTATTTGAAGTAGCTCAAAATTTGTTTTGGCAGGCAAACCAATTTCTTGTATGTAAACATTTTTTAAATTGTCACACAAGAGAACAAATTGTACTCTATTATATTCTAATAAATTAATTGGATGTAGCAGTTACTGCATTGCAGGAGATTCTTATGAAAAATGAGAAATAAAACTTTCTATGTTTTTTACCACTTGTGTTTTTAGCTAACGTTACTGCATTTTCGACCTATAAAGACATTTTACAACGAATACAATACACTTTTTTTTATTGTATTCGTTTGAAAATGTCCTTATAGGACGAAGCTGCAGTGACGTTAGCTATAAATACAAGTGGTAAAAAAACATAGAAAGTTTCATTTCTCATTTTTCATATTATATTCTACTCGATAAAAATGGTCGTTACTCGCTTGAATTTTTTATGACACTCGTTTTTGACTTTTGTCGACAAACTTCGTTCTCACTCGTTGAAATAATACTATCATTAAGGATTTTTTTACATTATGATTTAAAAAGGCACTACTTATAAGTTTATGAAATTCAGTAAGAAACAAAAAAAACATATTGCCACCAAAAATATTCTTATGAAATCATAAAAAGGAAGCTATCTGGAATAAAGTAGATATCACAATTGAGAAATGTGCCAATATATGTAAAGAAAAAAGTGATAAATGTCAAAATAATGTGGTTAATTATGATTACTTTCATGCTCAGTAGCATAGAAATTGAAATTTAGCTACTTTAACATGAAATCAGTTAATTTTTGGTTAGTTATAATTTGATTAACAATCCATTCCTAGCGACTTCAGTTTCATTCGAAAAAGAATTCACAATAAAATTCTCATGAAAAAGATTCATTAAAAATATGGTTTCATTGATTGAATTTGACTCAGTTCAAATAGTTTTTGTTTCAGTGTTTATTGTTTTTTTTTTAAGTTATGAATTCACAATTCATACTTAGTGAGTTCAGCTCCATTCGAAAATGAGTTGAGCCCACAAGATTCTCATTAAAAATTGCAGGTGAAATTATTTGAAATCTGAATAAAATAGATAAAAGTTGCTTTGAAACGCATATTTTATCTATTCTATCTAGATTGAAGGCAAATATTGAAAGAAACTAACTAGATAAATATGTTTCTAGGTAAAACATTATTCATCCAAAAAACAAGAATTTAATACCAGGAAATAGGAAGATTGTTCTGAATCGGGAAAAGGGAAATCTGAATTTTGACCCAAAAAGATACATTTCTTATAAGCCAGGAGAGCAGTATTGCATTAGGGCGTTCTACTGAAACTCGTAAAGCACCAAAAAAAATTCACTGTTACAATAAGCCATGATATAAAATGAAAAACACACATTGGAAAAACTATAACATTATTTTTGTTTCTTAAAAAATACAGAGTGTTTATTAAACAAGCGGCAAAAATTCAAGGGACTATTCCTTGTACTATTTCAAGGATATTTTGTCCTTTGGTGATTTTCGATGGGCCGCTTTGTTTCGAAGATACGGAGCGACATACAATTTCGACAATAACAATTTATTACCAAAAATCACATGTTATGTTTCTTAATCTACAACAACTGTTGAAAATGACTACCCCCCCGCTAAATCCAATCTTCTCCTCATCGACTCCCGATCTCTTTCAAAAACACCAGAATCGTTTCTGATTGCGTCACACCCAGCAAATTGAATGTCTGCATTCAATAATAATCATCGTCTTGAATCAAATTTTCTCAAAGTGATCTTTTTAAAACACTCAAAATCCTTCATGAACACAACTCAGTGAATTGGGACTTTTTGTGCGGAGTAATGATGAAAAGCTGAGGAGACATCCATTTGAAATAGTGAAAGGAAGATTCCCAAAACTGTGTTGCCAATATTTTCTGTGCAATCATGTTATCATCCACTGCCTATATCTTTAATTGATGTAACCTTTTATCTTAGTTTTAGCTTTCGATACAGTTAGCCATGATTTACGTCTAGAAAACTCATATCATAGTTGTGCTAGAGGTGTAGTATCTTTAATAAAAAATCAAATTCTGTTGAAAATTTATAGACAATGGCAGTTCAGCTACTGATAAAATTGCAAATTTTATTTAACTATTATAATTACTCAAAACAAAATGTGTTCTTACACATTATGTTATAGATGAATGATATCAGAGTATATTTCATTTCATATTGTATTGATCTATTCCAGGTATCGATGTTTCAAATGATGGTGTTATCGTAGTTAACTGGAGGACCAAGTATATCACTGAGATGACCAATAATGGTGAAACAATAAAATCCTTCACTAATAATGCTTTTCAAGAGCCAATCGATCTGGCAGTTGATAAGAATTATGGTCACATTTTGGTAGCAGATAATGGAATGAGTTGTGTATTTGTTTTTGATGCTGATGGAAAAATATTGTTTCAGGTGAGCAGCATTCTAAGCAGAATAATTTGGCAGTAAAAATAGATATGTGACTTGAAAATGAAAAAAATCTTTTCAAAAATAATTTTATCAGAAGAGAAAACAGTTGTTACAGTAATTATTTGCACTTGAAGTAAAACATTCTGAAAGTGGCATGTTGAATACTTCTACTTTTTGTTTAGAAATCTGAGGAAACCACTCAAAAAACTTTTTTACAAAAAATTCGAATTCACATTGCTGTCACTGTTATAACTTCACAGTGTTTACGTTTACAGCTAATATGTTTTCTCTGATTTTATCTGTTGAAAGCTCCAACGACAACCTTCAGAGTAGAAATTTGTGCGGGCTAAGGATTAACAAAGTTTTACCTTGTAACGTTCGGTTCCTGTTACAAATTTCAAGTAAAATTCATTCACATAAAATTATTCCCATTCTGAGATTCTATTAATGTTCGCAAGTTCATTGCGAACAAAAAGTATTCACTTCCATTTATTAAATGTAGGTGAAAATAAGGGAAAAACTGAAATATTTCTTGACGTACTAGTGTGTCGACTTTGGTTGTCAAACTTAGAATTAAATATCCCTAGAACTCGTTGTTCTAAGTAGTACTTAAATTTATAAAAACTTTGAATCTATATTTTCAAAAACTGATTATTTGATTTGTTTATATACTTTATACTTTTTTTATAATTTAAAAGTAGACTCAAATATCAAAGTTTTGTAAGAAATGTATCAATTGTTCTGATAAGAATCAAGCGAAGTAGATTATTGAGTCAGTTTCTCGTACAATCTAATCTAAACATGAGCTATTCACTGTTTGGAGCTTTGAACTTTTTCCTCAGAATAATTATTGAAAATATTTCATGTGTGCAATGTGTTCCTAGGTTGGAAAAAAAGGAACATTCAGTTTGATTTCTTCTGTTGCTGTGGGCCCATTAGGAGAAATAATCGTCGCAGATTCTCGAGTGCAAATGTTCTCGGCCAAAGGAGATTTCATGGAAGTAGTCTATGATGAAGGAAAAGGTAAGTTTGCTACAAAAAGAATATTTGTAGAGTGAACAATATATACGCAATTAAGGAAGTATCTAGTACTTTAATAATTTTTCGACCTCTGTGCCAAATTATTGCATAAAGTATATAATTGAAGTATAGTCAAAAGCTGTGTTTTCTGAATACAAAAAGGAAATAGAATAAATTTCATTAAATATGTCGCATCTGTCTGCCTTATTCAGAAGCAATCTGTTGCTTTTGTAATTATTATATTCATTGCAAATCTATTGATGTTCACTTACATTTATAACTACAGTTAATGAAAATCAACTCTGTTTTGTACAGGCACTGCAGAAAAATCCTGAAAATACTCTAAATGTGGTGCTTGTGCGAAAATCTCAATTTACTTTCAAATCGCTGTGATTACATACATTTTAAGGATGCCATACTTATAATGGAAGTTTTAATTAAAAAGTGTATTTTGAGGTGTTTTGACAACTGTACTTTTCTGATGCTTCTGACATATATTAGGTGTGTGAAAATATTGATCTATTAGACACATTCACTCCATTGTGGTGAATACATGTTTTAAAATAGTATAACGTTGATTAGAATCATTACTGTTGATCAGAAAAATTTCAAACAATTTATTGTGTTAATTCAGGTGGATCAGGTAGTTCATGATATTGATTAACCATTTATTTCTCAAGAAACATGCAATTTGTTTATGGGAGGTAGATAAACGAATTTAAATACAGAAAAATATAAGAATGCATTAATTTGTTGGAAAAAATACAACTGGACAGTGACTTATTGAAGAATAAGAAACAGAAAATTACCTATGAAATTCTGCTCACTAGTGTCAACAACATGACCATCAAAGATTTCCTAGACAGAACTAAAGATACAGCAAAAAGTTCAGCAACCTGTTGTCTCCCATCTGCCCTTTATTTAGCAATCTTTCAAAATTCACTAATATTCCCTACATTTACCTTTCCATATCAGTAACATATCTTCTATAACATTCACTAGTCTATGCTTTCCATTAATTTTTCATATCAAATTGTACATGATACTGCTGAATATTTATTTTCTTATTACATGCATTTTGTCTACTGCCTGATACACGATTTCATAAAAAGCATAAACGATACAAATATATCCAATAGCACCGAAATCACCTTCATTAAAATAATTATAATGAGTTTGCATTTCAAAATTGTAATTTGAATCAGGGTTGTAATGGAATCTTGTTGTTTTGTGTGCCATTCCATGCTCCAAACTTTTGTTGAGTCTAATTAACCAGTAACTTGACATATTTATAAGGTTTGCCTATATCACTGGAACTTTATTTCTCAAAATGGCAAACGTTTCGGTAAGTAAATATACATATTTCCATTTGAAGCATTTTCCACCAATAATTTTTTAGGCTTTGAGAATTACTTTCCGAAACATTATCCACTTTGAGAAAGCTGACTATATGGTAAAATCCTACAACTCATTTCATTTATAGGTAAAATTTATGAACTTCAATTTTCATCTCATAAACACTCTGCCTCCTTTAGAGAAAGTGTTAGAGTTAGCCGCTCATAACCAAATCTGCACATAAATTGAAGACAGCAACCTTTTGATGGAGTATCAATCAGGTTTTAGATCGCAAGACTCATGTGAAATTGCTCTCTAACTCACCTTGTCTAAATGGACACTGTCAATTGATGACAATAAATATGTAGTAGAAGTAGTTTTAGATTTCAAAAGAGCGTTCGAAACTATAGATATATCTATTTTTCTATCAAAATTAGAGTATTATGGAATAACTGGTAGGGTGTTGTTATGGTTCAGAAGTTATTTACTCAACAGATCTCAATGTACTAAAATAAACAACGTCCTGTCAAGCCAAAAAGCAATTGATACCGGGGTCCCCCAAAAGAGTCTACTTGGCCCTATTTTATTCATACTTTATTTGAATTACAAAAATTTTATTAGTGTCTGCGAATTCATCAATCACTTTGCAGATGATACTTATAATGCAGCAAGCGACTCTGATATTCATAATGCTGTAAACAAAATTAATTTGACTCTTGAAAACATGGCGAAGTTTTTGAACATAAACAAACTCAAACTAAAAACCACTAAAACAGTTTATCTCGAAAACGGTTCAAAATAGAAATAGTATTATCTGAACAAAGTTAATCTAAAATTGTATGTAGGGCTCAAAAATGTTGAAATATACAGGGTGTTCTATTTGAAAAAATTGAGTTCCATGCTCATCATGAAAAGCCCTGTATTGTAGATTTATACATGTTTTACATTATAGAAAGTTAAAAAGTTAATCAATATCGAGTAACATATCTTTTTTTTAATGTAGATTACCAACAGTTATCCACTTTTGCGACAGCCAATCTTTGAACTTTCATCTTCGCCTACTGCTACATGATCTCTGTTACAACACTGAATTAAATGACAGAACAGCCTCTGCTATCACATGAAACTAACTGAAGCTACTCAGTGATGAGATAGCTATTTTTCAGTTACCCTTCAACTAATTTTGAACAAAAAAGTAATATTGATGAAAATGTTATTAATGTAAGAAAATCTCAGTTTTTGATTGATTTAAGGAAAATGTTTTCTTGAGTTAAAAATAATAGAGTCAGTTATGACTGTTGATATTTTGTCCAAATCATTCTGATAAATAAATTTAATGCAACTATTCATTTTATATGTTTTGAAGTGTTTTATGCTAATTTCTTCAATATGTTATCGCAGGTAAGGGGCGCTATGGTGGAGTTTCAGTGGATGCAGACAACAAAATCCTTCTGACAAGAACTGAACAAAAAGGAAGATCTTACGTACAGCTTCTCTCTTTGACTGAACACTCTCTAAATCAGTGTATAGATTCCTATGATGCTAAACTCAAACGTCCAAGTGGCTTGGCAGTAACTAATGACAATCACGTTATTGTTGTTGATTTGGGCAACAACTGCATAAAAAAATATCGGTACTGGTGAAATGTCATAATGTATTTGCTTTTTCAATTGTTGGCTCCGACAACATTTACAAAGCTTCAAATAAGACCTATCATCAGTTTTGTAAGAAAAAAATTTGATAAATCTATTGCAACTGGTTTTAATCTCTCAAGAGCTGTAATATGAGGCGCAACATTGTGAAGAATTGATTGAGCTCTCTATTTAAAACATTCAGATTACTTTATAATGGTGCGTCCAATATGCATGAAGGAATTGAATAAGAGATATGCTGTCGACTTGAAAATGCCAGTTTTGATTTGCTTTGTTGGTTCAGGGAAGTTTTTATTTGCTTTCTACTCATTTTTTTGTCATATGGGTCCAGTTTTAGTTTTTCAAAGTGGCTCTACTCTAGATATAACCATTCTTAGAAATATAAAAATAAACCATGCTAATGATATGATGTTTTTTACATCAAGTTGAATATCATATAACTGGAACCTCTCGTATAAAATGAATCTATTGAAAACTCTTTTCCCTTGGAATAAAAATACTGCCTCTTGTCTTACGTTTTACTGTTTCGCATCATCAGTAGATGGCTAAAATACATGAGTTTTAGTTATATTCTGATGACACTAACTTAGTTAACGAAATGCATGTCAAGGGATAGTATTTTTGTTCTGCTATAGGAAAAATGTTTTCAGTAGAATATCGTATATGTTTTTGTTAGTTTTGTAAACAATTGATTATTTAATTCCATTGAATCAACTTCCGCATTGAAAGCAATTTTCAAAAAAAAATCTTGACAAAATCTGTTATTTTGTAGTTTGAATCTTTATCATTTTCTATATAATAGTTTGTGGAAATACCTGCTTCTTATAAGAAAATCTAAGAAATCGTTTTCGTAGCAAATAGACGAGGCTACTTTTGTATTTGCAATCTCAGCAATAGAATAAGATCACTGAAATTCTTCAAATGCCCCAACGTTTCTATTTGCACAATTGGACGGTACATTAAATAGACTCCTATATTAGTAACAGTTTTGGGAGAATTGATTTTTAATTTGTTTGTATTTATTTGATAAAAAATTCGCTCTCTTTCATTTTGTTCAAAATAATTGAGGACTTCTTACCTCCTTTCACGCTTGCTGATAGTTTCAAGGAAAGAGCTTTTATGGTTAAACTCCTTTGTATGTACTCTGTGAAGTCTTAAGATTTTTTGCGAATCACGAATTATGATGATATAAGAAAAAAAGTGTATTCTCAAGAACTAATATAAACCTAACAAAATACGGCTGCATAATGCAAACTCTAGCTGGGCAGACAATGCAACAAAAAAATAGACAGTTTGTCATGTTTTATGTGAATGTGATGCAGTGGATCATAGTAGGCAAGAAATGTATGAACGACCCAAACTATGTTCAGAACATCCAATAAAAGAACTGTACAAGCTAGTGCAGTACAAGATTATAAGAATGGCTGTGATGAAAAATAGGCCTTTGTGAGCTACATAATTTTCTGGACTTGTGAGAGGTGGACGTCAGATGGCTCCCATGTAGCATAAAAAAATCTATAGAACAAACACAAATACTTCTCCCACCCACCAGAACGATAGTACTCTTCTCCACCCCATCAGGAGTACTAGTTGTATCGGTTGTAACTTTCAGTAGATGAGTGGATAATGTATGCAAAAATAGTTTTTCGTAAAAAGTTTAGAGGACAGAGAGCATGAAAGCAGTTGACATGACTTTCGAATTTCATATAAATATATGTTATCTTCATGAAGTAACTTACCAAAAACCATAATTTTGTGGAGATCTGCTTCATGCAGTCGATTTCTGACAGTATCACGACCAATGGTTACCTGGTGCGTCTGTTGCAACACGTTAACCAACTCAGGTGCTGTGATTGTCAGTTGTCTTCTTGCGGTTAAGACCAAAAATCGGTCTTGAACTGCAGTTGTAGCGCGTCCTCGCCCTGGATGTTGTTCGGCTGGACTGCCAGTTTCACGGAAACGCCGCCACGATAGACTGATAACACTTTGGGAGACCCTCAAACGGAGAGCTACATCATTTTGTCGCATGCCACCTTGAAGAAGCCCTACAGCTCTATTCATCTCAGCCGATGGTAACTGATGGCGTTCCATGTTAAAGCACAATATTTCCAGTTTAATTGCTGAGCAAGAACTGCATAGAATGTACAAACTCTTAACTTTGACAACTATGATATGTGAAAATCCTTTCAATTTTTATTCTTCTCAACTTTGTTTTATGATAAAACTTTCATGCTCATTTACGAAATTTGTTTATTTTAGATAAGAAAATTTCGAGATTTAATTTCGAAATGTTCATTTTCTAGTACATATATATCTCTCCTCTATACAATCTTCAGACACGGTTTGATTGAGTATTGATACATGTGCTGTTTCTTCCCCTCTTGGGGCTTTGTTACTAGTTAACAATCTTTGTCTTAGACGCAGGTTTCATACATGCAGTTGAGTCACATTGAAATTAATCAAGTTCCAAGCACTTTGCTGTTTGGGTCGGAACTTTCTTGCACTGATGAGATGTAATTCCCCGAAACCGGGGAATTCAATATCCAGCGTGGTATTAGCCGGGAAAGTACTTGTTTTCCAGCAGGCATTTACCAGAATCCACAGTGTAGGTAGAGATCAATATTTTGATATTTCAATTCGAAATATTCATTTTCTAGTTTATATTATTGTTTAAAATGTATTCTACTTATTTCCATCAAAGTTAAAAATAAAGTAGAAAAGTGTCTCTTCGTGCCGTGTCTCCATTTCTTTCCAAAATGCTATATTATAAGCTTGTGACATGTGTATATACATACATCATGATTATCAAGAGTCTTGATATAAATAAAAAAAGTAATGTTTCATTGTCTGATTGATTCGGCCGTTACTTGATGATGATCCATAGTAATTTCATAATTCCACAAATTGTGGAGATCAAATCGTGAGATGCAGTTTATGAAAATGTTTCATTGGACATAGCAAACCATAAACAGGTATTTCGGGTTAGTTGACTATCATCATCAATCATCAACACCCAGCAAGTCAGATACATATGTGGTCTGTGTTAGATCTTACCTTTTAACGTGTGATTCCTAACACGGGTTGGACGACTGCAAGTGAAAATCAATCGTTTAGTCTGGGGCTTGAACCACCGACCAACACGGCAGTCAATTCGATTGAGTGAACAAAACACCCACGTCAAACCGACCGGCTACCGACCGACCGATGTTTCTCAAGTGTCTTGATTATAAATCTTGAAAGTTTCATTGGACATACCACTCTTTAAAAAACAAACCATAGACACGTGTAATGGACTTGTTGACTCTTATCAGTATAGTGTAGCCAAGTGCAAGGGTCGGCCAAACTACTTTGTTCGAAACTTACTTTCCACATGTCTCAAATGTAAACGTGTTAGGAATCATACGTTAAAATGTAAAATCTCGTTAGTTCTTAACTCGCACAAGTTTCTCAACTTCTGAGAGTTGTCGTTCGTATGGGGGCGACAGCTGATTAAGGGAAAAATAGATTTTAAACAGAGATTTTCAAAGCCCTAGACATCTCCAATCGAGTTACCTGAATAATCATAACTGATGTGTACATAACGAATTCAGGAATTATTTTTACTAATGTTTAGAGCATGTTTAGTTTACTGTGTCTATTTTCAGTGTTATTTCTTTTCAATTAGAAAGGGGGATATAATTTGAAAGCACTTTCTTGTGTACATGTATAAAAGAATAGATTCGCGAAGGAAAACTTTTTAAATAATATTAATGGTTGGCCATAAAAGTTCAATAGTGCAAAACAACAACAATATCGATTTTCAATTATTATCAGGTGACACTTATTCAAATAAATATATTGTTAAAACATGACGTGTGTTGTAAAAAAAGAATCAACATATTGACAAGAAAAATATTTTTTATATTGTGACTTCAGTCAATTCAGCCATTCAAATATATTGCTTTGGACTAGTTTGTGTAGGTTACTCCTATTTTTATTTCATTTCCACTGAAAAATTCAACTCGGTTCTCCACTTAATAAAAAACGCCATCAGATAAAGTTCAGGTTGGGCATTTTTCGTGCTGCATAATTTCCTAACAGTATCTGTAACTGTCATGTTTTAAATGTTGGGGTTGAATTTGGATTTACCAATATGATTTTTTAGTGTACGAAATTTGGTTTTATATCTATATATGTTTGTATCAAATGTACAATTGTCACCCATTGAGTTGCTTAATTTCTTTCTGTATTGTTTGGATAGGAAAATAGCTGTGCTCTGTACTTAGGTTATATATATTTTTATTTTGTAAATTTTTCATACAAATTGACCTTTGTCTAGTCATTAGTCTGTATTTTTGTATACTCTGTACTTGATTATTTATTGTAAATATAAAGAATTAAAAAATTAATGACATTTACTGAAATAAATAGCGCCACAATGTGGAAAGCAAGCAGTTGGTTAACTAAAAATTTGTTCTCAAATTGGTAGTTCGCCCCCGAATAAAAGGACATGTTCTTACAACGTGGTTCACCGAGATTATTGTCCCTGTGGAATAACAGTCACTCTAATTAGTATAGAGAAGACATTGAAACACATAAATAAAGACAAGTTTAAAAAGCCAAGGAAACAGAAGATTAATGAAGTCTGTCTTTATTGATAGGAAAATTTCGTGAAATAAGCAATTCTTATTTATGTATTGACACATAGATGAGAATTTACTAATATCTGTTATAAAAATCATTTCTATTGTTCATATAACCATAATTATTTTCAATTCATCAAATGTGTATCTCACCAATATTTATTTATTTATATATTTCCAGTGGATTACAAAACGAAAAAACCCAAAGATAGTATTCACAAATGATGAGGTGAAAATAAAGTAAATTATTTGATTGTATTATATAATATCGTGTTATGAACAGTTGTTATTCAAGTGCAGTGCAAATTATAATCGACATAAAAATGATTATATGAATTTTTGAGGTACAGAGGTACGTTAATTGAAAGTTGGTTCAATATAGAGCTACTGTCGTAACAATTATTTATTATTTTATATGAGAACTTAATATCGGCTATTTGGCGTCTATCTGCCAATGATATCAGATTGAGTTGTTTTTTAATTTGCATTGGATTTTTGAGATTATGAAAGACTTTTCTATTGATATACGTACAATGTTATCCTTATTTATACTATAGATACCTCTTGTAGGTACCTGCGTCTTAAGGGTCTTAAATTAATTTCACAATGTTGCCTTATCTACTAGTCTTACATTAATTTTACAATGTTTTCTTATGTAATAGTCAGGTAGATCTGATAATTGAAATATCTCAACAAGCTATATAGTATACTATTAGGTATTGGTCCACCATCGTTATTCATAACATTATTATGTTTACTTTTTTCTACACTCTCATAGGCATCTAGATGCCTGTTGTTGTTATTTTGTCCAACTAATCTTAATGAACTAATGTCTATGGAATGGTTTTGTTGCAAAATACTAAGTGTTCCTTATATCTTATTTTGATAGATCTTTTTGTCTATCCATAATATTTTGCATCACGGTCTCTACATTTAATTTCGTAAATTCCAGACTTTTCTGAATTCTCGACTTTGTCATTTGGATTTTCTAAAAGGCTCTGCAGTGTATGACTTGTTTTAAGAGCGCACCATACCTGCAACTGGACCCTCGAACTGCATCTAACGGTAAATGTCTGAGAATATGGTAGGCGGTCCTATTTTTACAATCACAGACATACATATCCATCTATCTTGATGGATATATTCATTATGCAAATCGACAAGTTAATGTTGTTGCGACTCGAATACACACACTACAGAGGGGGCACGGCAAACTCCATAGACGGAGCGTAATTGTTTTACTTTTGGAGATTAATTAATCGTTTAAATATTTTCAATGGTGAACGATGTTTTATTATTCTATTATTATCATGAGGCTATTGCCAGAATCATTTCATCTTCAACAAAGGTTGTCCTACATTGGTCGTAATAAAATTCCTTCTAGTTTCGAAAATGCACCTATATTATCAAATAGAAAAAAATTCTGAATCGAATGACACTTTAAGGAGCCGGCAAAAAGTTTTGACCTAAAAAGCATTTGTGAACTAGACTTTTCAACGGTATGTTAACTGGCGTGGTGGATTGCGAATGTCCAATTTCCTCGGGTATCTAGGATCTATCAATTCGGGCAGGAGGCAATTGTTGTAAAAATTTTCCAACTTTGGTTTCATTTTATTCGTCCAGAATGAATCGTCCTTGATAATCAAAAAAAAATCCTATCAATTTTATAAGGTCATGGAATATAAAACAGAATGAATACATAAAGTGCTCAGCCTATAATTTTAATATTTATAATCAGAAATATTTTTGAATGATTGGGGTGAGTTGTTGAAGGCAGTTAAAACATGGATGAAAACCAATTTATCGTTTTGATATCACAGATTGTTATAGGTATGTTACTAAAACTCACCTTTTCAACTGAAATTCCCAACGGAGTCCAAATTACAAAATAACACAGGGAACGCTGAGTAATGTGTAGCTGTCCTTGTACTTGATAGTAATAATTATGATTTTGTTTTAGCTGTAAGTGTAGATTCTCATCTAGAGTACAGAAATTTATTATTTTTTGCTCGATTGCTTCTTTGGGGTGCATTTTTGGCGCAGTTTTGGGGCACTTCACCTCAACAATGGCGTCATCTCCTATCAACCCATCAGGACTGGCTCCAAAAATATAGTCGTATTCATCAATGAACATTCCACAAGGTTCAACCTGTGACAAAAAAAAAATTAATATTTACTCTTGTGTATCATTAAAGAAAGTATTACTTCGACATCAAAATCATTCTCTAGTTGTCTAATTGCGAGTGGCTCATGTTCTCTTCCATACTTGGTGTTTTCGTTTCCTCTGAAGGTGGCATAAAGTAAGTTTTTCACCTTATTGACACAAGATGTTGTTTTTCACATCTTGCAAATGTCACCAAAATGTGAAGCTGTTAAGCGAATACTTCTCTCCTGTTGCCATAAAGGATTGCCAGATTGGATTGACCTCTTGTATTGAGTTCAATGAGTTTTATCTCTTCGGCAGTTTTTTTTTATTGATTTGGGAAATTGTTTTTTTTTCGCTCGAATTGATCGGTAGATAAATCAGGATCAGGGATAGCGTCTGGGCCGTAATCCTTATCTGGCAGAGCATATTTCTTCTTAAATTTTGGTGGAAGGTCTTTATTTTTGCGTCTCGTGATTTTCTGAAGTTGGCGTCTCCTTTTCATCTTTTCTACATATCTTTTGGTATAAAATGGAACTTTGTGTTTTTCAACAACATCATAATAGTCCCCATCAGAGTTGAATGAAATAGCAGCAGCTTTACAACGTGTCGCATACGATCTTTTACGAGAATAGTTTATTCTTTTACCTCCAACAAACTTGCAGATGATGCTGTTGTATTGTTCAGCGATATTGGTATCCAAGTCCGCTATTAAGCTGGCCGCATTGAAAACTAAGCGGTTAATACAAACTTCAATATCGTCCAATAGACCACATGCTCTCATGCTGGGTATATGATCAACTCCATCTAATCTTGGAGAACACTTGAAATATGATATCTCCTGACATCTTTCATGCTGTCCAAATACATGTGATGGGACATTCTTGAGATCTTTGCATATATTTAAAAATGTACTTAATTTCAAAAAAACTATATTCACTAGAGGGTAACTCTCATTTTCCATGATTTCAAAACAATTTAGTTGGGATAATTTTTTTTCTTTTCAAAAATTCGAAAAACAATAGTCAGGCACTTGAGGAATATTTTTTTGAAGCGATTGGTGCAAGTTGCATGAAAATCGGATAACTGGTTGAGAAACTATAAGTAAAATACGTTTCAAGTGGGCATGGATTCCTCTTAAATATCACCTTCATATCTAGTTCCTTGGAAATCTTTCCAAAGTTCTTCGTGTTTTGGTGAAATGGAACTGAGATATATTTATCTTGGTTTTCATTGTTTCTTGAAGTCAAGATTTCGTCCATTTTTAACCTAAACTTTTTCTTCCGTTCGTCCGTTTTTCTTTTGTGAACCTCTAATGTGTGAGAGGAAAAGTCAAAAGACGCACTAGAAAATTCAGTCAAGCACGTTTGTGCTGTCCACAGTGATGTGAACTGTCAGAAATATACCTGTACATGCTTGTTTCCTTCCTAAATACATCGTATTCTACCTTCCATATTGGCTCCTTATTACCAAAACGTCAAGAAATGGAAGTTGTCCTTTATTCTCTAACTCATACGTGAATTTTATTGATGGAAATCTGTTATTCAATTTTTTGTTATCGAATATCGCAGAAACATCCACATACCTCAGGCATATCCTAGGAAAATACTAACTTACTTCGGCTTCGATAAGTTCGATTCAATATATGCCCGATTCCTCGAAGGGACTAGTTCGGGAGAAAGTCAGGAAATAAATTTCCAGGAACCTGATAACAGATAAACTGAAACATTTAATAAACTATGATAAAAACCAAAAGAAACTAATCAAGCGATTGAAAGACAAAGAAGTTTTTTGTTCCAAAGCCGACAAAGGCAACAAAGTAGTAATTGTGCATAAATCGGACTATTACGAAAGGGTCAATACCCTCATCACTAACAGACCCTATGCGAAATTGTCCAGAAACTCGTTACCAAAGATGATTGCCGAAGAAAAAGAAGTCCTCAATAAATGCGACAACATACTTACCCCTCAACTGAAACGGAACTCACAAGTTTCCAATCCAATGGTGTCAAAACTATATTACCTCCCAAAAATCCACAAACCGGGAAAATTGATGCGCCTCATCGTGTCAGCTATTGGATCTCCTACCTAACAAATAGCAAAATGGCTCACTAAGGAATTCGAAGGCTTGCCTATTGTGAAACCAGGTTTAAGTATCAAAAACTCCTTAGAGTTCATACAACGTACAAAAAAATATCGTTCTGCAAGAAGGTGAGATTTTTGTTTCCTTTGATGTTAGTTCCTTATTTCCTAGCATCCCAATTCCACAGACCTTACAATACCTCAGAAAATTACTAGAGAAAAATAATTTCATGAGAGGTTCACAAAATAAAAACGGACTATACAGGAAATAGCAGTCAGTTACAGTTTCTCGAGGGGTATTGTAGGTGATATTATAAAGAAGAAAAAGTTTAGGTTAAGAATGAACGAAATCTCGACTTTTGGAAACGACGAAAACCAAGATAAATATATATCTATTCCACCCAAACACGAAGAACTTTGGAAAGATTTCCAAGGCACTAGGTATGAAGGTGGTATTTGAAACAAGTCATGCATACACTACAGAGCTTTTTAGAAAATCCAAAGGATAAAGTCGAGAATTCAGTAAAGTCTGGAATTTACGAAATTAAATGTAAGGACTGCGATGCAAAATATTATGGACCGATAGAAAGATTTATCAAAATAAGATATAAGGAACACTTAGTTCACCTAAAATATGGAAGACCAGAAAGACCAGCAGTCTCCCATTATATTTTGCAACAAAAATATTCCACAGACTTTAGTTCATTAAGATTGGTTAGACAAGTTAACAACAGGTATCTAGATGCCTACGAGAGTGTAGAAATGAGTAAACATAATAATATTGGTGGACCAATACCTAGTAGTAGTAGTAGTAGCTTGTTGAAATAGTATTTTAATTATCAGGTTTACCTGACTATCACATAAGAACACATTGTAAAATTAATTCAAGACTAGTAGATAAAGCAATATTGTGAAAATAATTTAAGACTCTCAAGATGCAGGTATCTAGAAGAGGTATCTATGGTATAAATAGGGATAACATTGTATGTATATTTATATTTAGTTTAATCTTCCCCTTGAATAGGATCACTTGGTGATCGAAACACGTGTCAAGGTGATAAAATAACGATTTGGTGTTGGGATAAAACTCCAGTAATATTCATGATCTATCTTGTCGAATGTCTTTCTTAAAACGGTATAGATGGCATAAAGCTGGTAGTCTTTGTCCATGCTTTTCAAAAGATATTCAGTATAGATAAATACGTTGGTTTCAATCGAGAGATGTATCACATCTATGAGGTTGTTTTGGACACTGATCATTGGAATATCACTTTTTGCTTACAAGTCTTTATTTTGTGTATTGTAATTTCATAAAAAAATGATTCATGAACAATCACTACATATACTATAAAGCAAAATGGCTTCATGCTAACTGTCACTATGTATGCTTAGATTTTTAAAACTACGCAACTAATTTTGATGCGGGTTTTTTTAATGATAGAGTGATTCAAGAGGAGGATTTATATGTGTATATAAGACGCATAATATAGTAGAGAAACACTGATAATTTTAGAGGTTTCTAATGTGATGTAAATATAAACATATTTTTGTGCTTACATTGCAAACGCTGGCTGAACTCTACGAGATAGGTCAAAAAATATATGACAGTATTGTACACCTAAAAAAAAGGCTACAAAAAATTTCACGATAGTATATGTCTATCTCTTAGGGATAACCCACAATAACTATTTTTATCCTCAAAAAATAATGGTTTATTTATGAAGCGATTTTAAGCAATATTCAATCGAATTCTCATCCAATTAAGTACCTTAAGTACATTGTGCATTTGATATAGATCTTTACAGCATGTAATTTAAATGAATATTTTCGAAAATATTACAGATTCAAAGTGCAGGGACATATCGGTTTCGACGGTATAAATAACGCGTCGAAGGACGCGCTTCGCCCTTTAACACTTCACGATTAGCAGCGATCGCACGCGTTTACAAGGTGGGCCATTGAAATCTTGAGATGGGTACTAATCTTGTAAATCCGAAAAAACGCTCAGACAGATCGATTTTTATTGGAAGGGGGATAGTTTTTTTCCCCATTTACAACGTCGTCATTTCAACTCCGGAGCAGAGGGGTGAACAACCCCTCTGTTCGTCGCACTTTGAAAGAGCTTGGAATTCTCTAAACAATGGTGTACATTTTTTTTAAATTTGGGCGTATTTAAAAGAGTTCTGTCCAATAATTTACTTTTTCAACTGTTGATAGCAACAAATAAGTTGTACACCACTGCTCAGTTGGAATGTATTTGGAACACTTTCATTTGTTTCTTAATTTTTCAGTACGTCTCTGATTCTATTTCTCATTTTTATGTTGAAAGTGATATCTACATTATTACTAGTAGTGAGTGCCGAAAAGTGTTGCTAAAGAAGCACTGGTTTACTTTACACAACTGCAGAGAGGGTTGAGTTGATTGAAATGTACTATGGCAATAAACGTTGTTCTGCGAGAGCCACTGAACTGTTCAATCAACAACATGGGAAGAATGTGTCGCGACAATATGTTTTCGATTTAGCAACTGAATCTGTAGCAAATAAAAAACGGCAAATCGAACCACCAGTAACAAACGAGGCGACACAAGTGACAATTCTGGGCCATGTTGAGCTTGACCATCGTTTTAGTACAAGAAAGTTAGGGGTGTCACGCTTGCAATTTTGCGAGTTGTTAATGAATGAGTGGTGAAAAATCTACATTTTATTTTCAACATTTGCTTCAGTGATGAATGTTCTTTTTTTCTAAATGGCACAGTTGATCGCCATAATTGTCGCTATTGGATTGATTCAAATCCTCACATTTTTCATGAAGTGCATACTCAACGTCCACAAAAATTAAATGTATGGGCTGGAGTTTTTGGTGACCGTATTGTTGGCCCATAATTTTTAGAAGGCAATTTAACTGGACAAATGTATCTGGAGCTTCTGGAAGATACTATTAATCCCCTTCTCACTGATATTATTTAAAATGACCACAATCATCGGGAGGATCTGTTAATATTTCAACAAGATGGGGCTCCTCCGCACTATGCTCTGCCTGTTCGGCAGTATTTAGATCAGAATTTTCCGGATCACTGGATTGGGAGGCGGGGCACTATCGAATGGCCACCACGATCACCAGACCTTTCGCCGTTAGATTTCTTTCTGTGGGGTCATTTGAAAAGCAGAACTTACTGTACTCCTCCTGCATCACTCGAAGATGTACGGCAACGAATCACAAATGAATGTCGCCAAACCACTCCAGAAATGCTCCACAATGTTCAAGAACGTTTCCAGCAGAATCTCTATTATTGCATGGGAGCTGGAGGTGCCCATTTTGAGCATATGCTAACATGAGAATAAAGTAAGTAACTTAAACTCTAAATTTAATATGGTTCGTCCAAATTTAAAAAATGTACACCGTTGTTTAGAGAATTCCAAGATCTTTCAAACGATGTGTGACTCGCCCCCAGTTCCCTATTAAAATTCCAAGGATTGTTCACCCCTCTGCTCCGGGGTTGAAGTGACGACGCTGTAAATGGGAAAAAAACTGTCCGCCCTCCCAATAAAAATCGACCTGTCTGAGCGTTTTTTAGGATTTGCAAGATTGGTACCCAAAACCTCCATGTCAAGTTTTCGATGGCCCACCCTGTATTCAGTATCAGCATTTCACCCCTGCGGAGCCTGGGCAGTTCGCTGGTTATGTATAAGTGATCAGTCACTGGAAGGCAGCTTTGTCATGTTTTGTTTATTCAAATGCTATTCAACAAAAAAATTAATTTGACAGTCATGAAACCTCAAAAATCACAAATTCAAAAACTGATAATTTT